CAGTGATCCAGGCAGAAGCCAGAGGCATCAAACACATACCTGGACCATCCGAGGAGGAGGTGTCATGGAGGGTACAGCAAGGGGACTCTTCAGGAAGCAGGAGGAGCCCCCAAAGGATGTGGAGCACAGACGATTGGCAATGGCCGTGTGTAGTGGTACCTGACAAGCTTGGTGCACCTAACCACACAGCAGGCGTGACTGCCACGAGGTGGTCTCAGAGGCACAGGACAGGAATAAATATGACTCTAGTGAGATGAATGTGGGAAGAGAACCAAAGAAAGGGCTTGGCAGCTTGTCTGGAAGGAGAGAGAGAAGATTCCTGTCCAGGTGGGTCATGCCTCAGCACAGACATTGTGAGAAAAAATCATGTTTGCATGCCAAGGAAAAGCGGCCAAAGGAAGGGTCAAGCTGAAATGGTGCTGAGGAATGGGGACAGTTGGTGGAGGAAGGTTCCAGAAGCCAGGGGAGATGGTGGAATCAGGCTCAAGGGTTAAGATTAGTGACCTCAAGCAAGCTCTTGTGGTAGTGTGTGCTCGTTGGTCCCGATCTACTCAGAAAGGGGTGGCATTAGGTGCTGGGAGGAAAGCAGCCCGCACAGGAAAAGGAATGGCTGCTGGGGACAGTCACGGGACAGACAGCTGACGAAGCTCAGGGAAGTGCCCAGTGATTTGGAAGCTGAGAGTCAGCGCTCAGTCAGTGGCGTGTTTTTGGGGCAGAAGTTCAGCTGAGGCACAGTGTGAGTGGAGTTGAGCCTCGGGGGGAAAAGCGCATGAGCATGGGTGTGTTCACATGCTTGCACACGAGTGTGTATGTGTTATGATACACTAGCATGTTTCCAAGTGTATTTCCATTCTGTGGACCCAATATATGGATGTACTGATCTTGTTTTCAGACATCCAAATTATTTGGGGGTCTTTCTTTAAATGCAACTTGTGGATGTTGTTCATTTTTCAAGGTAACTAACTCCAGAGTGATAATTAAAGAAATGGTAACATTTTTAAGTCCTTTGATAAGCACTCTCAGATTCCAAGAGTCTCCTCATTCACCCTTGCCTGGGGTCAAAGCCTGCACAAGGCTCCTTGGAATGCCCAACCCCAGACAGTCCAGCCATACCCTTCTTGGCTCGTGATATTATTTAAATGTTATGCATCTTTGCCAACCAGCTCAGTTTGAGTTTTCCAAGCTTCTTTTCTCTTAGCCTAAATGCTGTTTCTTAGAAGATTCTGAGTGGGAGAAGGAAAATTTGGAGGGTAAGTGGCCTCTAGAGGGATGTACGAGAGAGACTGAGAATGGGGACTTGGGGACAGGCTGACAGATACCCCACAGTACAGTGTAGAGCAATGGGAACACTTGTAGCTCTGTCTGCTCTGTGTGTTCCAACTCTGAGTTGGGTACTTTGCCCCGTCGGTAACTCTGGGTGAAGGCAGACTAAGGCTAGCTATGGCCTCTGAGTTTGAAATCCACACAGAACCAGATTGGGACTCCCCTCCCCCGAATCTGAGGTGGGGACCAACACAGGGCAGAAAGACCTTCCCAGACCTGTGAGCAACCCTAACCCTGCAGATACGGTGCAGGAAACCTTGCCAGCCTTGACAAGAGCAAGGACCCTGTGTCTACTGCATGTGGACAGGATTTAGCCAGGATCATGTGTCAAAGGCCTGGGTTTCCTTTCCTACCTTTGTGGCTTTTTTCCAGAAAATATCTATTTTATTTTAAATCATGTGTATTTGGGTATGGGGATGTGCACATGAGTATAAACCCCACAGAAGCCATAGGCATTGATCCCCCTAAGTGTTGGGAACTGAACTTGGGTCCTCTGCAAGAGTAGAAAATGTTCTTAACCCCTGAGCCATTGCTCCCGCCCCTTTGTTGTTTTTAATACATAAAAATGAGCAAATATGTATTTTTAAGATGGCTTTCAAACTTAAATAATGACGAGCTATTTACATAGACATCAGAAACCTCCCTAATCGGGATGTTTGAGAAATCAAGAGACTCTCTAGAAATGGCTTTTTAGAGGTTGGGTCCCCTTGCATGTTGGAATGACAGAGGGCAGGGATTAGGGATCACGTGCAACCCCCAGGTATCAAGTGATTCACCACCACCCTGTTCTACGATCCCAGGGACTAGTTAGTAATCTGCATAGGACAAGGGGGACATCGCTACTGCCACTTCCGTCTTCAGAGCTAAACCTGGCTCCTTAGGGAGCTGCGCAGCAGTGTCCACGCAGGAGCAAGCAGGCATAACCACAGAGAGCAGAAGCAGGCAGAGCTGGTGCAGAGCTACCACAGGCCAACATGGGGGCAGACAACAATGTTATCAGTGTTTTTGTCCCCCTCCTGGACCACACGGACACATGAATTTAAGTAACATGTCACTCTTCGTAGCCACCAGTTGTAAGGCTATGGCTGAGGTAAATGAGGTTCAGGCCTGGATACTTTGCTTAAGATCACAAACTGATAGATTTTCAGAGCTGGGGCGGCGAGGTGTCACCCAGATCCTTCTGCAAGTTCAGAGGCCGTCCTAGGTCCTAGACCTTGGGGCTTCAAACCCTGCCCCCATTCTTTGGGCCAGGAGGGACTGATTTAGCACACCTCACTCTCAGAAGGTTTTTTTTTTTTAAACTGCACTTGAGAAATGACCCCTGGGATGCTCTCTGAAGCTGTTTGTGAAAAGGGGTGGAGCCTACCCAGCTCCAGAAAGGGAGGGGTCTGGGGACACATTGCTTCAGTCCTCTAGCACTGTGTACCTCCAGAATCGTCTCTGCTTCTGTCACTTCCCCCAGATGGCTGTATGACCAGGAAGGTCACATGACCAATAGTTTGATTTGTTTTAGATTTTGCCAAAGAAAAGTGAAGGACTTCAAAGAGCAGCCTGACCCTGTCAGTGGAAGACTGAATTTAAAAACAGCCCAGGAAAGATGCCCTGAAGAACGAGGGTGTCTTTGCCCGGGCCTTTAGGGCTCACAATCTCATGGCTATTAAGGAGATGGGAGGGGACCACTGGACGGGACAGCTGTCCTTTCTTCTACCTCCACCAGTCAGGTGGTCCCCCTCGTGTACAGGGAAGGCTGCTTCTTCTCGAATCCTCATTGTGGAACCTCAACTGTGACTGAGAGAACCGTGCTATGTTTCATTTGTGCTATTTGCTGTCTTTTCTGAAACTCAAACTTAGACATTTTCAACAATGGATGTATAAGAGAAATCATTTGCGCCCCCTCCTGGCAAAAATTAATCTAGCCCCTCCAGCGATGCCCAACATCTGCTTGTGGGCCAGCAACTCAGCCCTTTGCTAGTTGGGGCCAACACCACTCATGTTTGTCCGGGCTGTTTGTTCTTCTGTGGCCCTGGGTCTGAGTGGCCTGTAAACTGGAACATCTCAGCGTTGGTGCCGTTGGTATTTGGATCTGAGTCGTTCTAACAAATAAAGGTTGTTCAAGCCTTCCTGGATGTTGACGTCCCTGACATGTGCCCACTACATACCAATAGCAACTTTGCTCCAAGTAATGAGGACCAAATATTTTCAGACATCACCAACTGTCCCCTGGGGGACAGGATGGTCCTTTACATGAACCACTGCCCTAAACTGCAGTCAACTTTGCAAACAATGCCATTGGTCAGAAGGCCACTATGAGGTGGCAAGGACACTTCGGCGCAAACCTGTCATGATTGTTGGTAACAACTTTGATGCATTGTGTCAACAAGGTTCTAGGAACCTATTATTTTTTTAGAATGAGTGGCTAAGCATCTTGTATAAAAAACTTGTGTCATAATATTTCTTTTAATTCCTAAAGTTTGAAACACAATAAAAATTTGTCTGTAAAGTGCAGGATACCATGCACTCATGAAAAAAAATCCATGCAAATACATAGTTCACAATGGAGCAGTTCCCCTCATCATGCCTTTACCCTCCCCCTTAAGGATACTTCGGGATCCTCAGAGGTGGTTACGCACAGAAGGAACGGGTTGATAAGCTTGCGGGTGAGGTAGGTCAGACTCACAACAGTGTAAGGCCTGAGGAAATGTCCCAGCTGGCAAAGTGCTGGCCACACCAGCGTAAGGAACTGCTTTTAGTCCCGCAGCATTGTGTGAAGCTAGACGTGGGGGGCACACATGCAGAGTCCCAGGGTCAGGGGGGACACAGCGAAGGGCGTTGGCTTGGGTCTGGGTTCCGAACCTGACACGACCATGCATGTACTGCACACGTTCCTTAACCTTCTGTGAGTCTTGGAGGTTCACATCACCTCTTCCTCAGTAGGGTTTTAAAAAGCAAATTCCTAGAAGTGAGCGGGGCCGGCCGTCTGGTCAGTTATGCTGAGCCTTGTCACTCCCTCGCAGCTGTCCCGTGACAGACAGCCCCTGTTCCAACAGTCAGGCGAGATTTTCATCTGCTGAACAGGAAGAACTAAAATGATCTTGTAAGATTGGTGTGAATATGTAAAACAATGCATGCAGAGGCATCTAGAACAGTGCCTAGGATACAGTATGAACACAGTGAAATCCTGTGGGAGATATTGCTTTATCGTTTTATTTTTTATGAATGGCTGTGCTAGCAAACAAACAAACAAACAAACAAAAACCTGCCAATTTTTCCAAGCTCTTACTGTACAAAGCTCTTGTGAAACAGGGCTCGCCCCCAGTAACTGTCATAGAGGGCAATGAATAAGAAAGTGTTCCTATGACAGTTACTGGGGGTGAGCCCTGTTTCACAAGAGCTTTGTTCAGTAAGAACTTCTAGTCTGCTTTACATATTCTACACTGTAGAGTCGAGGAGCACCTGGCGTGTAGACAGGGTACCAGGAAACACTTCTTGACCGAGGAAGCAGCTTTCCAGTCATCACCTCCCCCAAAGAGTAGGTTTGCATCCCCCTCTAACTTCGGGGATTCCCTGGCATGTTGGAGGCACAGGGTACTGTCCCTGCCCTGTTGGTGGAGAGGCCTTCTGAGTTCTCTTGGTGGCTAATGTCCTTTCTTTGTCTTTCTTTCTCTCTCCCACTACAGGACGCATTTGTGGAACTGTACGGCCCCAGCGTAAGGCCTCTGTTTGATTTCTCCTGGCTGTCTCTGAAGACCCTGCTCAGCCTGGCCCTGGTGGGGGCCTGCATCACTCTGGGTGCCTACCTGGGCCACAAGTGAGGTTCACCGACCTGCTCCCCAAAATATGCAAAAGGTTCACTAAAGCAGTAGAAACAGTATGCATTGTCAACAATGTACCATGAGACAAAGTTGTGATCTTTTTTTTAAAGATGAACACACACCACACACATACACCACACACACACACACACACACACACACACACACACACACACACACACACACACACACACACACCATGCACACACACACATATTCAGGCAAACGGTCGAATCAGCTATTTACTGCCAAAGGGAAATATCATTTATTTTTTACATTATTTAGGAAAAAAGAGATTTATTTATTTAAGACAGTTCCATTGAAACTCCAGGCTTTGAAAACCCTACCACGAACTGCCAAGCATCGCTTTGTGGCTCCACCTGCTGGACTATGCCAATGGATTCCAATCTGTTTTCCATATTGGCCAAACTGGCCCACCATCGAAAGAGCAAATGGCCAGGCCCCTGACTGCTGGGAAGCCTGTACTCTGGCTGCTGGGAGCCGGGGAGGAGGCCTCCACGGGATCTGTATAAACTGGCCGTGGGGGCTCAGATACTGTAGGGAGAAGACACCTACAAAGTCTGCTCCTCCTTGGGCTGGAGAGGGGACTTTGTATATGACTCACATGGTACACACCCAGTCAGAGGACAAAGGCTGGGGACTTCAGATGGACTTGGTACCCACTGAGACGTCCCCACTGAAAGACACTGATGGGAAAATGCCCTTAAACCATAGGAAATTATTTTTTTAAGCTACCAATTGTGCCGAGAAGCATTTTAGCAGTTTATACAGTATCATCCAGTACCTTAAACCCTGACTGTAGATATTCATATATTTTGGATACACCCACCCCTCCTCCAATGCTCACTCTGAGTCTCAAACAGAAGCTTCTGGATTCGAGGAAGTGGACGTGTGGTGACTTCTTCAGCATCAGGAAGAATGGGGGTCATCCAGAATGTCAGGCGGCCACAAGTGCCTGCTTTTAGGAGACCGACACCTGCAGAACCTACCCTGTGACCCGGTGAGGCCTCAGCCTGACTGAGCCTTGGCCCTCAACAATCTCCTCATGGGGGATGGAACAGAGCGGTTGGTCTCTGAATGTCTGGAAGCTGACAGAGCTCGGAATTGCACAGTCAGAAAGAGCAATAGTGAGACTCACTCTGGGGCCTGCTGCATCTGGAGCATGAGCGCAATGACTCTTCTTAAGATACTTGCCGCTGTAGAGAGAGAAGGCAGGCTCAGTGCCAGAGGTGTGGTGAGGACATCATCACCCCAGAAAGGAAGCCTGTGGCCCTGGACACACCCACATGTACCTGTTAGCAGTGGTTTGTCATGTTTAAGAAAAGGCTTTAAATTACTTTGGGGAGGGTCACAAATCCTGAAGGAAGCGCTGAAGTGAGGTACAAGGATTCAACAGCCGGCCTGTGTCTGTAAAACATTATCTCGCCCTTGCAGTTTGGTTTCATTTGAAAACCTGAGAGAGGGAGAGGAAAAAAAAAGTTTCGGGTATGTATGGAATGTAGAGATTATCTGTACATCCTGAGGGGTGGGAGGTTAGTTTGTATAGAGGAATAACAAAAGAAGTGAAATCTCCAGCTAATGAAAAGGGAAACATCTTTTCCCCAGAGTTCAGCATTAGTGTGGAGACATTTGTGGAGTTACTCTGTGGCATTATCACACTCTGTATCGTTCATCTGTATTAACTTCGGAATGTACTTCATTAGATGTTTATTGCTGTGGTTGATATTTCAAAAGCTGCTTTCAAAAAGAATACATGCATCTCAGCATTGTTTAGGTTGTATTTAGTTAGGACCTCTAGAATTTTTGTTAGCAAGACAAACAAAAAGGGTAATTTTTCTGTCTGAGATATTTGTCTCTTGATTCTTCATAAGCATTTCTGAGAAGGTAGGCTAAACCTGAGAGGCAAGAGGGGCCTGAGAGAGCCTGGATCTCATCACTCCCCTCAGTAGCTTTGTCCGGACTCACCTCTCTGCCTCTATAGACACCCCCCACCCTGCCCCGCCCCCGCCCCCGCCCCCCTGCCGTGCTTATAGTGATGGATATAGCTGCTGTTCACTTGACCTTGTTTCTTCAAGGTTTACTTGTCCCTGGATGATTCAGCATTGAACTCAAGTTACCTAGGATTACATGCATGTTTGGTTAAACCCAGGAGGTTCATTGAGTTGGAAATCCAGATGGGAAGAGAGCAAAGGGTTAGAAGCCGGCTATGGCGATGGGGCGGCCTTCAGAAAGGTGCTTTGCATGGCCTGTTCGAACACAGAGGCATCAGGAGTCCTCTTAGTCCTTCCCCTGGGCCTGTCTCCCTGAAATGCAGAGCTACCTTGCTTCATTGAGAGGGCAGGGAAGTCAGACCTCCCCAGTAGGTCTTGGAGAACAAGGAGGTCAGAACTTTTCAAGTTATCTTAATTTTTAAGCAAAATATTATCCTATGAAAGGTTTACATTCTCCACATGGTGAATATGGAATAAGAAACCTGTGCTGCTATCCTGCCAAGATCGTTGTAATGGAGTCAGTTTGCAGTACATGCCAACTGGCGGGGCTCCTTCAAGCTGCTTTAGAACTAACGATGAAGAACACGGACATTTTTAATATAAAACCTGCTTCTTGTTTGGTTTTGTTGTTATTGTTCAAACTGGGATTTGTAGAGTATTTGAAAAATGTATATACATATATATATTAAAAGAAAGGAAAAGGTCATAGGATTCCTTCAGGTGTGGGATTTTGTTTTCTGATTTGAATAGCAAATTCACCCAGTCACTGGACCCCAGTATTGAGACCCCAGCCACAGCATTGTGGCTGTTCTTGCTCTAAGAGTAGTTGATGGTGCATTTTTCTTGTTAAAAACATGTTAGAAGAAAAGAGTGTATATAGAAGCCTTGACTAGACTTTTTTTTCCTCCTTTTTTTAAAAATAGTCTGTTATTTTGCATTAAGGCAACAGAGAGCTATCCCCATTCATTTCATATTAAGAAGGGTTTCACACCCGAATCTCGACTCCTCTGTAAGCTTTGGAATTTTCTCTACATCCTAGTCAAGCAGACAGAACTTACACACTTCCCAAACCATGCTGAAAGGGTTAGAGAAAGTTCATGAGAAGAGCGCCCTGATGCTTTCCATTGCTCCAGGAGCCTCACCCAGGCACTCTGGAAGAGAGATGGAAAAAGCAGAGATGCCCATCCCCAGTGACTTTTCAGGGCCTGAACATGTGTGTAGACTTGAGCTTTCCATGGCAGCCACAGTTAAAGAAATACTTTCATGTAGTTCAACTAACATCATCCATCCTGCCCAGATCTCTTGTCTCTGCATGTTTGGGTGTGGCCTTCAGTCATACATACTTTCTTTTCCACTGGCAAATATTTATTACATCTAAAAGCCTTGCTGTGTCTGAGGGAAGGGATAGCAGGGTTCAGGAAGTATTTATAAATCCACAGGGATTATAATAATCAAGACTGAATGTAGATAATGGGGTAATACTCACACAGCTAGTTTTCACACTGAACAGAATGGGCAGAATTGTGAATCATCTATATTGGTAATCAAACCTAGACTAAAACAACGCTTAAATGTGAACTTCAGTTCTAACTGGGCTTTGAAGGTGATGGGTTTCTTTATACTTTCTTATCACTTATGGTTAGAAATGCACACCTACTCTATCAGGAAAAAAATAACAGGAAAAGGTTGAAATACAAGCCAATCTAAGGAAATTAGGGAGCCGCTGAAGTTCTAGTCTAATCTTATTCTATGGTGTCTATTGCAGCCCAGACAAATATGGTTACACACTTCTTTAAGAAATACAATTCTACATTGTCAGGCTCGTGAAGGCTCTAATCAGATCTGTATTGTTGCCCAATTTGGATCTTTCAGGGATTTTTCTATGTCATTATTATTATAGGGACAAAGGACATTTGTTATGAGGTGGGAGGGAAGAAGAATTCTTATACAAGTGGAACATTGCCCAGACTGGACCAGGGTATGATGGTCTTCTGCAAGATCAGAACTGTGGGGGATGAGGGACTTTTATAGGGGTTGATGTTATGTTCCTCTAAAGGCTTTTTGCAAGAAGTGGGGATCGTTTTTAAGCTCTATGGTACATTTAGATCCCAAGGACACTGACATAGTTCAAAGTCTGGCTTAATATAGCCATGCAGTAGCATATGTTTCAACTTGGATATGGCTAGTGAGTGTTTAAACAGTCAGTTTGACATTTCAACCAATGGGATACTTAAACAACAACCTTCCAGTTGGTAGGGACATCTGTTTCTCAATGTTTATTATACACAATGTAGGAAAAAAATTAAATAAGATGGAATTAAGTAAAACATTGTGAGGCTGAATTAGGTAAAGGATTGTAGCTGTCCCTTAGCCTTACCCAGGGAATCCTTCATTCCTCCATCTACAGACACCTGGTATGGAGGACAAATGGTATGTTACACTTCATCATGGATAGCCAAGAAAAATAACCTAAAGCCAGTCAGTTCTTTGTGCTCCAAATTCAGTACAGAAGACAAAACAAACAAAAAGATAACAATAACAACAAAAAGAACAGTCATGGGAGATGGAAAAGCCAGCTTATCAGAAATCCTGGGAATGTTATTGTGCTGGACAGGTGGCGAAACAGCAATGCCTCCACCTTCCCACTTGGGGAACCTGCACTGGGGTCCTCCAGATGGTTCATTTCATTAAATTCTTCCCTCTAAGACAACAATCTGAAGGATTGATGGCAGAGTGTTTCATTGGAGAGAGTGGTTGTTTATTATAATATCTTCTTAACTTTTCAACCAAGCTTTGCTTTGGCTTCAGTTATATTGGGGTTATTTTTAAGTAAAGTAAGTGTACAAATATACGTGTTTTGTATTGAAAGCTTTGTTATTAAGATTTTCATACTTCTATCCACGGGCTGCTTTTAAGGTTGATACTCTTCTGCGTGGTTGATGCCTAAAGCACTGTACATACAAGAAAATATATAAGTGTACTTTGCATAGTTAAGGTAAAGTAAGTCTCCAGTTGGCTACCATTAAATATAATGGCACTTTGTTTGTGTTATTGGAAAATGTTACATTGCCATTAACTCCCCTTGTCTGTCTGAAGAAAAATAAAGTACAGCGTGCAGCATCAGTTGTCCTGTTGAACTGTTTATAACATGCTAACATGGTGTGCCTGGCATTCATCATTATCAAAGGTGACTTTGGAAATCCTTCTTAGCAAGCCACGAGGACCATCATGAACACAGTCTAATAAAGTCCTTGGAGACCACGCTGAGGGATTGCCTTACCAGAAAAATCACCTTAGAAGGAATACTTTTTGTTTCTTGGTTGCTAGTTGCCTGGAACGGTTCAGGATAGAGCAGCCATGAATTCTATTGCCTGAAAGAATTCATTTTGCTATTTGGCGAGTTCTTTCATATGGATGGGAATTCCAACCTCTATTCCTGTCCTGTTTTCATTGCTGTCAGTGTAATAAAATATTCTGACAAAAAGTAATTTAGGAAAGAAAGGGTTTATTTGAGATCACAATTCCAAGTTATAGTCCATATTAGCAGAAAACTGAAAGTCATAAGAACTTAAAACAGCTAGTCACACCCCACTCACAGTCAAGGGCAGGGGACTGCATATGTGCATGCTGGTGCTCAGCTCAGTTTCTTCACTCTTACCCAGTTCAAGCCTCTGCCTAGGGAGTGGTGCTGCCCACAGTGGGCTAGACCTTCTAACATCAGTGAACTTAAGAGAATCCCACGTAGATATGCCCGTAGACCAACCCAGTGTAGACAATCCCTCATAGAGACTCTTCCCAGTTATTTGTTTTTTGTTTTTTTTTTGTTTGTTTGTTTGTTTGTTTTTTGGTTTTATAAGACAGGGTTTCCTCTGTATTGTTTTGGAGGCTGTCAGTCCAGCCTGGCCTCGAACTCACAGAGATCCGCCTGCCTCTGCCTCCCTAGTGCTGGGATTAAAGGCGTGTGCCACCACCGCCTGCTCTTTCCAGTTCTTTATGGATTGTGTCAAGTTGACAATTAAAGCTATCCATCATCATTCCACAATATGATATGCTATGTGAAAAGGTGAGAAACTGAAAGCTAAAGTTAATGAGACAAAACCAACACTTGCTTGGGAGTATATAAACCCTTAAGTTACAAGCGATTCAGTGTTTCTTATGTTTGGGTCTAATATCCTAAGCCTCAATATCACAAGTCTCTGCCTTTCAACAAACTATCTATAAGTTGATAACTCCATCCCACATCTTCGTCTTGAGCTCAAAACATATGTATTCAACTAAATATTCAGCATCTCCTCTTGATTAATCTGTAAATGTGTCGGTTTCAATACGGTTCAAGCAGAATTCTGATCTGAGCCAGCAGAATAGGCAACCAGTGATAACGGCCTGTAGCTTTATGATGAATGGAGATTTAAAAAAAGAAACAGAGCAGGGCAGTGGTGGTGCACGTTTTTAATCCCAGCACTCAAGGGAGGCAGAGACAGGAGGATCTCTGTGAGTTTGAGGCCAGCCTGGTCTACAGAGCAAGTTCCAGGACAACCAAGACTATACAGAGAAACCCTATCTCAGAGAGAGAGAGACAGAGACAGAGACAGAGACAGAGACAGAGAGAAGCATGACCAGTGGCTTGCTGTAGTAGTGTTTTATTATAATGATTATAATGTCATCCTCTTTAAATTTTATTAAATCCATAAAGTAGGTGTTATTATCACCAACTTTTATTGGTATAAATTAATATTTACAATATTGAAGCTAAAGAGGTCTATAAGCTAAGGTAGATAAAAGTTAGGCTGCAATAACAAAAAAAACTTAAAAATAAAAAGAAGATATATGCACAACTAAATGCAATGATTTCACATTATGGTGAGTAAAGCCCAAAGTATAGCCCAAAACTAAGATTAAAGAAAACTGACTACCTACAACAGGTAAGAGGAGTACAGAAGTTACTGTCAAAGCAATGTCATTTTAGACCTCATCTCAGTTAGGGTTTCTGTTGCTGTGAAGAGACACCATGACCACGGCAACTCTTATAAAGGAAAATATTTACTGGGCTGGCTTACAGTTCCAGAGGTTCAGTCCATTATCTTCATGGTGGGACATGGCAGCGTGCAGGCAGACGTGGTGCTGGAGAAGAGTCTGAGGGCTATACATCTTGATCTGCAATCAACGGGAAGTGAATTGTGTCACTAGGCACAGCTTAAGCATAGGAGACCTCAAAGCCCACCCCTATATTGGCATACTTCCTCCAACAAGGCCACACCTACTCCAACCAAGCCACACCTCCTAAGAGTGCCACTCCCTACGGGGGACATTTTCTTTCAAAGCACCTCAGACCTCAATAAAGAAATCAGGTCAGGGAGACACCACACAGAGAAAGTCCTCTAGGGAGGATGTGTTCCTGAGCATGCCAGCTGAAGGTCACAGTTCAAAAGGGGAAAATGGCCATCACATACTGAGGCATGATCAAATACAGATCATAAAGCATGTATTCAAAAGGTTAAAAATGACAGATATGGATACTTGGATACTCAGCTTGAGTCACAAAGATAGCACCTTTGGCTCTCTTCGGCTGTCATCCTTAGCTAAAATAGGAAAAGACATTTCAAAGATGCATGTGTTTGTTCTGAAAACTGCCTGCCTCTTTAGCAGTCAGCATGCAGTGTGGATGCAATGGCCCTTAGGAGCCTCTGTCTTCCATCAGTGATCCAAATCTGGCCTCTTTCTATCTTGTTGTTTATCACCTTCAACAGAGACTTACACACAAGCATCGTAGCCTTTCAAGGCTTCTAAAAACCATAGGGGAAAGTTTTCATCCCTTCTCAGTGTCTGATCCCCAAATATAGAGAAAGTAGGAAGTAGGTTTTGTTCCTTCACATTGAAAAGACGAAGCTTTGTTAGGATGTACTTTATAACAGTAAAACGAACAAACAAAAACAACCCCCCCCCAAAAAGCCATCTTAGCCTGTGCGGTTGTCTTGCTTCTATTTCTTTGTCCAGCTCTCCAAGTGTGTGCCATCTGAAGAATTGGCAAGATCTTTGTGTGTGTCCTTGGTAAGGTAACAGAATAGGTCAGACAACACTTGCTACTCCCTTATTCTCTTTCCTATGAAAGTAGACCCTGATTTCTTCTTGTTACGTTTCTTGCTTTATAATTTGCAGTATAAAGGAAAAAGAGTTGAAGTTTTGTTACTCTTACCTGTTGAGTATAAAATCAATGCCATGATTTAAAGCCAGCTTTAACGAAATACTTTGAATTTGAAGCAAACTTTAATTAAATACTGGCCAGGTTGTCAGACACTGGCCAGGCCCATGCCAGGGTTCCCAGGAAATGGCACTGAGTCACCTTTTGTGTGTTTCCCATCAGGTCCAAATCAAGGGCAAGCATATATCCTGACACCCTTCCTGTCTGCATACATCCCACATGAATCCAGTCAAGGGGCAAACATATATCCTGACGTATGTCCTACGTCCATACCCTCCTGCTCACATGTAATCAAGCACATCATTTGCAGATGTACCAAACGAGAAGGGCAAACAGGAACTTATTTTTAACTGTCTTAACTGCAAACAGCAGTCTTAACCTGCAAGGTATATTGTTCCTGTTTTGGTCTTCCATTAACTTGCAAGATATATAGTTAATGTTCCTGGTTTATTTTCAGAGTTTCTTCCTTCCCATGTTTTTTGTAAATACTCCTCCCCCATGCGTGTGCATGTGTGTATGATAGTGTTTATTACTGTGGATCAGTATACATGTGTGTGTGTGTGTGTGTGTGTGTGTATACTGTTGCAAATACATTTCAGAACATCATTTTGTTGTTTGCTATCTTTTAAAGTGAGTGCAGCCGATTCCCCTTTTCACCTTATTTATCAATAATCTGCATCCTTGGAAACATCATCTTTAGCCTATACTACTTAACATCTCAGCCTTCACTGTCGCCCAAAGCCCCGACTTAATGCAGTGTTTTCGCGTTTTGTCTTTTCTTATCCACAGGACAATGTATCTCTGACATGATTTAAATGACAGAATTCTTTCAGGTTCTCCAACAGCTCCTCCATAAAGGTAGAAAAGGAACCTCAAGGGGAACCATCAGAAGTTCTGAAAGTCTCACCAGGTGTTGTGGCACACACCTTTAGTCCAGGCAGACAGAGCTCTGTGAGTTTGAGGCCAGACCTCCAGAGCACCAAGGGCTGTATACATAGTGACACTGTGTCTCAAAATAGACAAACAAACACTACAAGACCCCCAATACCTTGCTTTTCCCTCCTTGCATACTGGCAAGTCTCTCTGCATAGTTTTACAGGTGCTGTATGAGAACAGGGGACTTGAGAGATGATGGATGCTTTACTATTCTCAGTAGTCACAGATGCCAGAATGATTCGCCTTATTAACCAGGATCCATACACCCCAATTTTTACAGACCAATGTCAAGAGAGGTAGGTGACACCTGCAGACACGATTGTAACACAGGACAGGAATTGTGACCTTATTTTAGACAATAAACCTGACTGCCTGTTGGAAGGGAAACACTAGCCCTGTCTTCTGAGGTTGTTCCCTGGACGCAGTGTGAGGCCAGGGGCAGTCAGTTCTTTGCTTGAAGCATGAACAGGAACAGAGGAAGGCACAGAAAATGTCTCTCTACAGTAACACAGAATAAACACGCCAGGTCATCAAATGCTTACAACACAGGCTTTGCCCCTCAAAGTTAAATGCCCCAGCTACAGTCTCAGCCCTGTGTCATCCCCAATCTCTGCTGCATGTGACACTAGGAGTTCATTATTCCAGTGTATGTATGTACATACAGACATACACACACTCACACACACACACACACACACACACACACACACACACGCACGCACGCACGCACGCACACACGCGTGCATCCATGCACATGCTTTTTTAATGCCAAGGCACTAGACTGAAGGTTCCAACCCTAACTGTATTTATCAGGGCTTGCAGTCTCTGGAGCTGAGTGTGTAGTAGAGTTCTTGGATAGTATGCATAAGACCCTTGGTTCAGTCCCCAACACCACACAAACAAACAATGATGGTACATGTCTGTTACAACAGCACTCAAGATATGCAGTCAAGAGAGTCACAAGGTCAAGGACAACCTCAGTTAC